ACATTAGAGGGGTCCTGTTATGCTTTTTCACATTTTCAACTTCCATCAGTGTGTAATATTGAAGGTACAAACAGTGCCATGTTAAGCCTTTGTGGGGCCCTGGGCTAATACAGCTTTGGGCCCCCCACCCTCGCCCCCCATTACATGGCAGTTATATTCAATGAATTAGTAAATCAAATGTGCAAAAACACATGTTATACTCGTGAAATAAAAATAAAGAAAACATAATGCGCACGTCATAATCCTATAGTAGGCTAAAAATGATGTACATAAATTAAACAATATTATCAAGTAATAATCAGAAATAGCCCAGCAAATACAATTAATTAATTAGCCTATCACTCACCACTAAAAGGGCTTCTTCCTGCTCTTCTTCTAATAAGTTAAAATTTTGAAAATGTATAATTTTGCTTCCAGGTTTAACAACTTAACTTACAATAGTGAAAGACATCTTCCCTCAGGTAGATTGTTTGTTTTCTAGCTGGATGTTGTGCTTATGATCAATAATCATGTCTTTGCATTCCCCCAAACTATTTGCAGAAATCAAAACAAGAGTTCCACTCACTGTGAAGCGGGAGTGACTAGGCGGCAGAGGATTCCGCTTGGTCTTAAAGCCTTCCTTGAGCAGCTACGTTTGCAATTCAAACAATGATTTGGAAAAATAATAATTCATTTGTTATTTGTATGGTCTAGGTCAGGGGTGCCCAAACTCGGTCCTGGAGGGCCGGTGTCCTGCAGAGTTTAGCTCCAACTTGCCTCAACACACCTGCCGGGAAGTTTCTAGTATGTGTAGTAAGAGCTTGATTAGCTGGTTCAGGCGTGTCTAATTGGGGTTGGATCTAAACTCTGCAGGACACAGGCCCTCCAGGACCGAGTTTGGGCACCCCTGGTCTAGGTGGTCATACGGAGTATGCCTGCAAATACGGGACAAACTGATGCCTTAAATATGGGATGATTCCGTATTATATGGAACGGTTGGCAACCCTATATAAAACGCAAAAGAGAATTGTCTCGGGGGCCCCCTAGTGTTCAGGGCCCTGGGCTGCAGCCCATGTTGCCCATTAGGATAACGTGGCCCTGGGTACAAAGATTTTGAAGCCCAAAAAAGTGCATCCATCCATCATAAAAATACTCCACACGGCTCAGGGGGGTTAATAAAGGCCTTCTGAAGTGAAGCGAATCGTTTGTGTAAGAAAAATATCCATCTTTAAAACTTTCTAAACCGCAATCTCTTGCTTCCGCTAACTGTTGTACACGCAAGAGAGTGGCGTTCCAGTGGATGACGTAGGATGTAGGCGCAGCGTAAGCTCCAGTGAGAATATGCTAGTTTCGCGAGAACCAAGTTTTGTTTACAGCAAAAGAAAACCTCTTGGCCTATATCGAAATCTTCAGACATTTTTCTTTACAAATCCTAATTAGTGACCAGTGTTTTGTTTTGCTCTCTCCTCTCTTTATTCTCTATATTTTTTAATATAACAAGATTGTATTTGTCTGAACGAAGAAAGTCATATACACCTAGGATGGCTTGAGGGTGAGTAAATCATGGGGTAATTTTCATTTTTTGGTGAATTATCCATTTAATGCTGTTATCTGATCAGAGAATTCTGCTATTGACCTGTCAGAAGAGAAGAAGCATTCCATAAAGGAATGTTATTATTAAACTATTTGCTAAATATGTCCCTGTAAATTGTAAAGCATCTATAAAATAAATAAAGTTTCTGATATTATTAATGTTTAACCCTTACAAGCATTTCAGTCATTTTTGGTCAATTTTTTATATATATATTAAAAAATGGTTTCCTCAATCTGAGTGGTTAAAAAATTGTAAGCTGTAAAATACACATTTGAACAGTCGGGAGGATGTGGAGGCACAATGGACTGTGGCATCAACACTGAAAACAGAAAAAGGGCCCCAAATGAAGATTTAGGGTTTGTTTTGTGAAAATGAGACAGAAAACTGAAAACATCAGTGTGGTCAAATTCCTCTCACTCCCTTGTATTCAGAGACAAAAGATGGGTGTGATAATGACAGTCTGTTTTTTCTTGAAAACCTCACACTCTCACAAGCCATATATAGACACAAGACTCCCTTTTTCTTCTTAGCATGGGCAGAGAGATTGAGAAAGAGGGAGAAAGAGAGAGACTGCTCTAAAAATAAAACATCTGTTCCAGGAGCAGGTCAGGTGGGAGGCAGGTCTGAAGCGCCATGACAAGGAAGATGAGAAGAGAGAAAAGCAGAGGTATAAGCCATGAGGAAAACGATACTGTAATCTGTTAGAGAGAGAGAGAGGATGAGGAACTGACTGATAGAGAAAGAGAGATGCCAAGCAGGGGGGTTTTACTGGACAGCACACTAGCTAGCCCCCTGCACGAGTGTGTGCATTTGTGTGCATGTGTGTTTGGTAAAGCCACAGGCAGACTTAAAGACAAACACCAGGGCCAGCTTGCAGAATGATGAATGCATGGAGAGAGTCAGCAGAGAGCAGAGCAGAGCAAACGAGAGGAAATTAAGGCATAGAGAGAGAGCGAAGGGAGCACAGGCACAGAGGGGCCCTGAAAAAGATCAGTGTCATCTGCGTGAACGTGCGCGAGAGAAAATGTGTTTGGTGTGCTTTTTGAAAGCATGATTTATGGGTGTACATGAGTGAGTAAGTGAGTGAGCTGGGTTCTGTGTGAGACTTCAGGAAAAGAAGGATTAGAGTGGAAAGACTGACAATGTGTGTGATGGAAAAATAAAGCTTTAAGACACAACTGGTAAAAATTATGAACTCACACTGAGGAAATGATCACATTTCAAGAAGTTGTATTTGCACTCAGTCCTGTTTAAAAACTGGATTTTTATGGGAGAATTTTGGGATTTTACCAATGATTAAATAGACACCTGCATAAGCCATTTATTTTATAGAGATAGAGTTTAAGGCCAGTATTTTATTATTATTATTTTTTTTTTAGAAATTAATACTTTTAGACATATTATTATTGATCAAAAGACATGATATTTTGTCTCATATTTTGTTTTTGAATATTTTTGAAAGAAGAACATCTTTTTTTTGAAAGAAGACTCTCTTTTTTTTTGAAAGAAGACTCTTTTTTGCACAAATGCTGTTCTTTTGAGCTCTCCATTCATCAAAGAATCCTGACATTTTCAAATCAGCATATTAAATGATTTCTTAAGGGTCATGATGTGACTCTGAAGACTGGAGTAATGGCTACTAAAGATTCAGCTTTGAAATAAAAGTTATTTTAAATACTAGTAATATTTCACAATACTGTTTTACTGTATTCTTGATCAAATAAATGCAGCCTTCATGAGCAAAAAAAATAAAAGGAGAGTCTTCTTTCAAAAATATTGCTAGCAATGCCACAACCAATGGCTGATTTTGGGAAGGGACATCAAGGAAACAAGGAACAAGGAACAAAAAGGGACTTTTTGTTAGCCCAATGGCTGACAGCAAGTATTCCCCTGCTGGAAAAAAAAATACTTAAACTTACGCTGGTTTCCCAGTCTGGCCCTGGCTGCACACTGGCAGACCATTTTAAACCAGCTAAGACCAGCAAATCAGTGTAGTTCAGCAGGGACAGGAAACCTTTTTATGAACTATAACACAACTTATGGTAACCTTTATTGATCTTTCTTTTGATCTTTTTTTGATTAATCTCTCAGCTATTTAAATTCAGTTTTCAGACTTGTTTATTTGATTCATACTAACAGTTCTGATCTGACCAGTTATTTCCTGGAAGATAGGTACAATAAAACTAAATGAAAATGAGTGATGTTTGTTTGGTGTCCACAAGGAGTCATTTGCTTTCTAAGCCATAAAAATATAATAAATGACAGAAGAAATGTAGAAAACAGACATTGCACAAGACAATAAAGAGGAAGAGGGATCATCAGACCTTTTGGAAGTCACACAAAAAAGTATTTCTGGTGCTCTACCCTCTCCCCTCATTCTCTGTCTGTCTCCCTCTCTTCAGAGCCTCTCGTGACAGGAGTTTCCTGGAATAAAGGAGTCCATCTGCTTTCCATTCAGGCACATAATGTGTTTCAGGAGACTACATTACCCCCCAACACACACACACACACACACACACAAAACACAGAGTGCTCATTCACCCCTTTACCCAGAACTTCACACTAACTTGATAATACAACTGCACAGTCTTAATATAATAGTTATATATTATAGTCTTTCTGTGATAACATCATAGTTTGGACAAGGCCAGATTTGGGTAAAAATAGCTCTTATGTGTAGTAATCACTGAGTAAACAGACCAAAGAGTGCAGACAGGTTCATAAAAAAGTATAATTTGCTTGTTTATGGTCTAAATTTAAAGTTTAAATGACAGGGATTTGACATTTGTGACCCTGGACCACAAAACCAATCAAAACTGGCACGAATATATTTGTAGCAATAGCCAGCAATACACTCAAAATGATCAAATTTTCTTTTATGCCAAAAATCATTAGGATATTAAGTAAAGATCATGTTCCATGAAGATATTTTGTAAACTTCCTACCGTAAATATATCAAAAAACTTTTTTTTTTGTATTATTAGTAATATGCATTGCTAATAACTTAATTTGGACAACTTTAAAGGCGATTTGCTCAATATTTTGATTTTTTTTTGACCCTCAGATTTCAGATGTTCAAATAGTTGTATCTTGGCCAAATATTGTCCTATCCAAACAAACCGTACATCAATGGAAAGCTCGTTTATTCAGCTTTCAGATGATGTATAGATGTTTCAGTTTCAAGAAATTGACCCTTATGACTGCTTTTGTGGTCCAGGGTCACTTACTTAGTTGTTGCTTTACAACGAGACTCAAACATTTCTGATCCCATCACTGAATCGCTTGCATTTCCTGAAATGCCTACTTCCATGTGTGCAGCGAGCCAGACAGTGGGCGGGGCGTGTTCTGGGCGTGTGCGTGGTGAGCCAATCATCTTGCGAATCCTAACGCATGGGGTGATTCGCTCCGCCCCTCCACTCACGCTTCTCAAAGAGTCTTGCATGCTCATGTCCCGCAGAATCAGAGACGCGACAGAAGCCGATAAGAAGCGTGGTTTTATCAACTCTCCTTTTGAAAGTAGCCGTGGGATAAAAAAAGCATTTTATCACATCAGTTTTTCTCTTACGTTGGACGCGTATTTGGATATATCCCGCGTGATAGAACGCGGTATTGTCAGTTGTCCCAACCGAAATCGTGGAGTTTATTCACTCGGATCAGCCCGTTTCCTGCGACTAGACAGTCTCCATCTGTCCCATCTGCACGACAGGACGGTGGACATCACTGGACTTTTACGGATAGAAACTGGACGACACGCCGTGATTTGAATGCCTTTGCAGGGGCTTGGCTGGCTTGTGTGCTGCAGACAAGGCTTCAGTTTGCTGGCTCGGGATCATGGGGAGAAAGAGGAGGAAGAGTCTTTTGAGTTACGCAATCCGGACGAGCACACACACACGGGACGGGTATGTAGACAAAACTAAAGCTGTGTCGCAAAACATAGGAAGCTAGCTGACTACCTAGACAGCACAGTATGATACCCAGTATGGCTCATTTCTAGCTAACTTTTACTTTTTTTAAAACGTAACAATATTTTTGTATACTTGTTTTATTTTTTTATATAATTGTTACTATTTCACTAGTCATGATCCCATACATAACAAGTAACTTTTATTGTTTTGAAGTAAAATCAAGTAACATATTGGCATTTTCCCCCATTGAATTGTATGGTGATGTGTGGTTCAGATCTCAGCTATTCACTTCCAACTAGCATCTTTTGCTAACGTTAGTTGTTGCAGATACCTATTCCTGTTTACTAGTACTTTTTCATTTGGAAGAAGTACTTTTTGTTGGGTGTTTACTAGTAACTAGTCCTGCTTAGTACTTATTTACTAGATACATGTACATATTTATCTAGACACGAGTATCTATCCTAAGTGTCACTAGCTACATTACTTGTCTCACTAAATGGTTGTTTTGTTTGTCATATATATATATATATGTATGTATGTGTGTGTGTGTGTGTGTGTGTGTGTATACACACACACACACACACACTAGGGGTGTGCGATATATATCGTCTGCGATAATATCGTAATTGTTGTTTTAACGATGTGCGATTTGACATTATCGAGTATTTTGCAAAAACCATTCAAAACATCCCTACAGAGCGCACGCATACATTACGTGAAGTCTAGACTAGTGCGTGTGCGCATTTAGTGTGTTTTCTTTCACTGCATGATTCAGGCTATTAAAATGCATTTAGAATGATCACAAATTCAAGACATGATGGCAGAAAATGTATATATTTATACCACTTCATATAGTTACTCAATTTCACACGAAGAGTGCCGTTTTTCTCCAAAAAATACCATGATTACAAATGTGACATTGAATTCAATAAACAAGAAGTTAATTAAGAGACTTACGTTTTAGACACGATATTGCTTGTTTTTGCTCTATTTCGCCAAAAAATAAATCATTCCGAATACAGCCACAGTGCTGTTTTGTGTCTCTGAGCAACATGACGGTGTTTCGTTCTTGAATGAATCAACCGTTTAAATGATTCGGTTCAATCGCAATGACTCACTTATTAACAGTGATTGCTGCCACCTGC